ACTAAACAAAAAAAAAAAAAAAATATATATATATATATATATATATATATAGATCTATATCGATATGGATACCTATCAAGCCCAAATCTAACAAGACATGAGGAGGCATCATCTCTTGAACAATATTTACAGCCCTTTGCAATGCGACATGGTAAATCAATGGTGTCAGCTAGTACCTGAAGATATAATGTATAAAGCATGTCATCACAAAAACACTGCAAAGACTGTCAATTGTATTAAACTATTGAACACCCCCCCCCCCTCTTTCTCCTTTAATTCTTTAAAAAGATATTGATATAGTAAAAATGCATAATCACAGCCTTAACCGTCACATAGAGTTGGAGTATTACTTTGAATAATACAGCACGATGCCTGCAAAGTCCAGTAGATAGACTGCCAATTGGAACAACAACAGATCCTAAGCAATCTCTTAGATCATTAATGCGCTCCCTCCATATGGGATAAAGGTCATCTTCCCATACAGAAGCTGAACCCCTTGTTACAACAATAAAACATAGTTAGACTGGTGCAAGCTAAATAGTTCAAAGCCAATAATGCCAATGAGACTCACCCCATACAATTGCAAACCAGCTTCGCAAGCTGGTCTACAACATCTGTTGTTGCTATGCAGCGACAAGGGATGTCATGTACCTTGTTTTGCAGTTCTTTTAAGATAGGATCACTGCGTCTATCCACCAAAACTACTTCAAGTGAAGAATCACAAGAGGGATCTAGAGATTTTAGTGTCTCAATTGAAGGAATTCGACCATTTTCCTGCAGATCAGTGCACACAGTCCATACATAGGGATCCATCCCATGGATTAGATAAAAGCCATCAGGAATTTTGTCGAAGTATAATAGGCAGCCATTCACCTGGTGCACGTTATAAACAAAATAGCTATCAATTGCATGCCTACTAATAAGTGAAACAAGTAATTCAAGATGGAGCTACTTCAAGTTTCCTCGCTGAATTTTTCGTAAAACTAGAGCAAATTATTTATAAAAGAAAAAAAAAAGTAACATAATAAAAGAGAGGAAGGGTTTTTTCCTCCCTCTTAACTTTAATTCACACATCAACTTAACAACCATAAGTTAACTTCTTTCCTCAAGAAAATAGTAATTATTCTCTCCAACGACAATTTCCTCCAACAGGCAAAGCATATTCTGTCATCCACAATAATGCCAAAATATTAAACACATTTTCACAATTTATCCAAATCCCTAAAATAGTATATTTTCCAGTAAATATGTATATATCATCCAAAATATCAAACATATATTTTTCAAGATTTTACCAACTCCCTAAAACAGTACATTTTCCAATTAGTAAGTAGAAATAGGAAAAGAGTAAATATTTAAAACAAGCTAAACAAACTTCAAGAAGCACCATTTAAGGAACATAGTTACAGGACAATCTGCCCATCTGGGAAGAATGAACAAATTTAGTACAAATTTACGGTGAAGAGCCACAATTCAAGGAGTTAGTTTTCTGTTGTCAATGAAAAAACAGTAGTTGGAAAGAAAGCATATCATGTCATCATCGATAAGGCCAAATTTTCAATATTTGCTCAATTCCTTAAAACAGTTAAAATCCCACTAAATGAGTATTACAAAGTACAGAAGTGGGGAAATCATTTCTTTAAGTAATAACAGTTTCACAAAGCGACATATATGGAACATAATAACAGGACAATCAGTACACAATGCTAGACCAAGAATCATGATTCACGACAAACTTCATAAAATTTAAGAGTGAAATGCCACAATTTAAGGAGGAGGATTTTCTAATGTCAGCACCACAACAAATGGGAGTAAATAATGAAAACAACATTAAATAGGGTTTTTTACTAAAGCCGTTCCCAATCCCATCCAGTCAAGCCAAATACTCAGAATTCATCCATTAACTTAAAATTATCCATCTGTCAAAAATATTTCATAACCCTATCAATACAATCAAGAAAATCCAAACAGACATGTACAAACTCAAAATTGTATGGATGCATGTCATGATATAAACATAGAACACCTGCAGCTTTACTTGACAAGGTAAAATGAATTAAGCCCCTCTCATAAGTCATAAGCTAATATCAACTTATGTACTTAACTTTTATAGAAGCTCTCTCATCCAAGTTCTCCAAAAGTCAAGGCGCATGAGTTGATCTTAACAAATGGGAGAAGCTCAATTTTATTTTACCTTCTTGTTTTCAACTCCAAAAAGTGATTACACAAAACTTTATCCAAACAGGGTAGTAATTTACTAATAAATACCCTCAAGCTGCAGTCGCGAGAACCAGAAATCCAGAACCATTCAATGACAACGTCCATTCACATGTTTTCTATCGCTTACTCATTGAGTTAAAGATACGGCATATAATATATACTAACCTAAAACGCAGTCCCAGGCTCACAAGTTCCCAACTATCACCGAAACTTGGCAACCAACCACAATTGGAATAGCATAGAACAGAAGGCGTAACATAACAAAAAACAATTAACATACCCAAAACCTATGCGACACTGCCTCTGCGGAACACGACGAAGAGAACCTCGAAGCGGATTCACCGGGCACGGGATCCAGAAAATTGGGATCATCAGCACACGTGGCATCCGAGGAAAGCCGAAGAGCCAATGCAAGCTGCAACTGATAACTCTCCTCCGTCTGCTGCGCCCAGCTCTTGCTAGAGGACCCGCCGCTCATCGCCGCCGCAGCGTCCGGAAACCTGCCTCTGGCTTCGCCGAATTTGAATCCGTCTAAGCCGAAGACGTCGATCTCACTGGCGGCGGCGGTCGACAGAGTCGGCGCGTAAAGCTCGCCGGAGAGCGAGCTCCCGCCGAAACTGCTCTCACTGGACTGGCGCTGCAACCCGATCGAGGAGTACAAATTCCCGATCCGATTCACCTGTCTGTGATCGACGGAGTCCCAATCAGAGGCTCTCTCCAGCTTGCTGTTGTTGTTGTTACCGTCGCCAGAAGAGGAACCCAACAACGTCGGCGAGTGGTGGTCGGAAGTTTGGTTGAGGAGGGAGTAGTTGGATCTTCTGGCGGGCATTTCCATGGAGGCTGTGTGCGGTGCTCACAAAACCCTAAAACCCGCCATAACCCAATGGTTTGGTTAGGTTCTGTTTGGCTACCCTCCCTTTTGCAGGGTGAGACTGGTTTGGTTTGAATTTTTCTCTCTTTAGAATTCGATTGCCGGAGGGAGAGGTTTTTTAATTGGTGGCGCGATCGTGAGGTTCTTTTTTTTTTTAATTACTAGCGGTTTGGTAGACTTTTTGGAAGCGTTGCGCAAACAGTTTTTCGTTCACACGTTGGATCACCCGGTCCCGCGGCATTTGATTTCTCCTCCGGCCTCGTACCATTTTAATTTCCCTTTTTCAAGTACTAATGTTTGACTTAAAAAATATAACTGGTGGACACAACTTGAATGCATGCTCCAGTCTTTCAAGGAATTAATTATGTAAGGATGCATGTACGGGTGAACGCCTCATTAAGTCATTATATTAAACATTTCATTAATTATTATTACTTTTTTTATCGTTACATTGTTCCAATGAAAAATAAAATGTTTGATTTAAAAAATATATAAAAGTACCTGTTTGCCCACCTAAAAAGCCTTTCTACGCAGTCCCTTCCCATGTCCTTCCCCACAACAGCTTAAATATTGTTCACTGAATTTTCATTCAATTTCTCATCATTATTCATTTTGTGGGGAATTTTTTTGGGGTAGGACCATCACTTTTTAAATCTCTTTTTCACTGATTTATCTCGATCAAATAATTCAAATTTTTAATCTACCTTGGTTCTCCTTTATTAAATAAGTAAATTACATTACTTAAATAAGAGATAAAAATATTATATTATTTTCTTCTTTTATATTAAAATATATAATTTAATCTATTTAATTTGATGTCATTAATGTAAATTAATCTTTAGTGATGTTAAGTTAATATAATAAAAAAATAGTATTTATATTTCTAAATGATAAATATGTTATTTATTTGATATTTTTTAATAATAGAATTTTAACATAAATATATTTATTTGTAAAATTATATACTTAATATACATATTTTAGCATTATATTAATTAAATATAATAAATAATATTTTATCATAAAATACTTGTTTATATAGATATTATTAAAATATTGTATTAGTAACATCAATTAAATAATACCATAAT